ATATATATATAAATCTATATGAACATATTTAATAGTTTTAGTGTGTCTCTTTGTGTGGAAAGAATCCTGATGTCACATAAACTGTAGGCAGTGTCCAACACACTTTTACTGTCATCTGCAGTGCATATTTAAATACATCTTAAAGCTAATTTTGTGCATGTATGACACAATAATTTTACCCATCAATTTTAACTTGGTGGCCCGGTGGTTAGCACCGTCGCCTCACAGCTAAAAGGTCGCTGGTTCGTGTAGTGGTGAGGACACCCGGGATCTTTCTGCGTGGAGTTTGCATGCTCTCCCCGTGCAGCGTGGGTTCTCTCCGGGTTCTCCGGCTTCCTCCCACACAGTCCAAAAACATGTTGAGGTTAGTTGGTGATTCTAACTTGTCCGTCAGTGTGAATGTGAGTGTGTTTGGTTGTCTGTCTCTAAGTGTAGCCCTGCGATAGACTGGTGACCTGTCCAGGGTGTCCCCTGCCTTCACCCTAAGTCAGCTGAGATAGACTCCAGCACCCTGAAACCCTAGTGAGGATTATGCGGTGTATAGATAACGGATGGATGGACAATTTTAACTTGGAGATAGCTCGGTGTAATTAAATATAGTTCCAGCAAGGGGTGCTCAGAGTCAGATTTATACAGAAACCCATTTGTTCACAGAAACACTAAGGAAAATGTAACAAGATTGCATACATATTCATTTAGAAAAATACTACAAGGTCCAAAAAGAAAGTAAAAAATCCTTCTGACAGCTTTAAGAACAGCCTCCTGCAAAGTACATTTTACTGTGCATTTTTCCAAGCATCCAGAAAACACACAAACATCCACTAAGCCACCCCAACTACACATTCAATCATCTGAAAAATAATGACCTATTTACAGGGACAAGAAGGAATGAAGAAATAGCTATTTGTAAGTTGCTCACGCACCTGCACACAAACACATTTCTTTACCCATCTTACTTGCAGGAGGCTACTGCGCCTGTGCGGACCGGAGGCAGATGCTGCCTTCACGGACATTGGAAAAATCTGAAGTATGAAGAGAAAAAAGGTATTAAAGTGAGCAAGTCGGCCCGTTTCTTGTAAAGGTTGTCTTTTTCTCCAAAACATTGCGAAATATCTTTTGGGGTTTCAAACATGACTTTATGAATGATATGCTGTAAAATACTTGGATTCATATTAAGCATTTATATGGACTTCAGTGAGAACACAAAAGTATTTACATTGATGTATGGGGGAAAAAAGGGCAACAGTCACCATTTCTTATTCTAAATGCTATCTTTTACACACCACAAAAGAAAACAAAGTATTTGTGTCTTCAAGTATCATTATCATGTAATTTAGTGTTGCATTCTTCTTTTCTTCTTCTGTCTTGTAGCTTGTTTAAACTATACTAGCTTTACATTGCTGTTAGCTAATTTAACACTTAATGACGCAGTAGCACCACAACTCATTTTCTGTGTTGATAAAACAAAATGACAACATTTAATTAGGTGTGGTTAACTTCAAGTTGGTTAGCTTAGTTGTAGAAATAAACCCACTACTGGTTACTGTCCAAGCAGAGTCAGAGAGCAGAGTTAGCAAAATAACAATTATGCTAAGTCATGCTAGCTGCGTCATAACTAGCTCGCTAGCAAACCTCTGCTAATGTTACAATGAAGGTATTTTTCCTAGGAGTAATGGGAAGATTAAAACTGAATAAAGCCACAACAAAAGTGAGTTAAGCCACTCAATACTGGACTCAGTGACTGTAATTGTCGAATAGCCAAGAATTTAACCTCACCACGACTGTTGTTTGGTGTAATTTGGTTATGTAAGTACCTGATTAGCTGCTGACAGGTGAAGGAGCTGTCGTCCGTTTGAGCTCTACTTCTGTTTCCTGTTGGCCAAACTACCACAATTGAACCTGCAGGCCAGTCTCATATAAATTCTGCCTCTGTTTCACAGAAGAAAAAGCACAAGTGAAACAACAAAGTGCAAATAGTTAAGTCTCACCTCTTGGCAGCCATCTTGGGAACGGCCCTCAACTGCTGTTTCAGTTTAACAAGACCTGGCTCCTTTTTAAGTGAAAGGTGAGAGAGCTATAGCTGCAATTTGCCATGTCCTCAGTGTGTGTCTTTAAGTTTTTCAGCTAAAAAACACTGCACAGTTGGTTCAATCTACTGTGACTGTAAAGTCTCTAGTTTCAGGGCCATTCGAAATGTGCTACTTTGCTTTGAGAATCAATGAGCTGCTGCTGCTCCCGCCTCTTTCAGGAAGAACACGCTGTCTGTGATTGGAAGCTGGAGCTGTCAATCACAGTTTGAGCTGGACAGCTATTGGTTACTTGGAATTCTGACTGACTTGTGGAACATTTTTATAATTAACAGTTTTTATGTTAAGTTTATAACAAGCACAAAACACAATAAAAATGGATTTTCACTCTATGAGAAGCTTTTTTCTTACTTTTTCTTTCTGCTTTGGTCTACTATGCAAGTGCACAGCGTGAGGGAAATTCCATATTTTGCTGGTTTCGCCATATTTTAATGCAGAGACTAGGATTTATTTATTTTTATTTTGGCTGTTTTATAAATGAACTGTGTGCCCTCCCATGTGAAGTTTTGTCTCTGATCCACTTAAGTTTGTGCTAAGGAGGCCAACTTGACCATTGTGACTTCCTATCTTGTCTCTCACAGGTATCAAAGGACCTAATTTTATGGGAGGATGAGCGGGAGACTGGCCCACATAAGTAACTCTATGGAGGCCTTGTTAGTGGAAAAAGTTAGACAAAACCCTGACAGTCTGACCCCCACCTTTCCCGACTGCTGGGAGGTTGTATCAGACACAAACTTACCTATCAGCTGGAGTGAGACTTTATACTTTGGCTCTTGCCTTTGGAAGGCATGAATCTCATATGCATATATACAGTTTATCGCAATATATAACTCTTCTTTGTGAGTTCACGTTTTGCAGAATTTAAACAACACACCCCACGCATGTGCCAGTGCATAACAACGCAGTTTTTTGGAGGCAGTCTTAACATTTTTGCCATTACAGAACTCAGCCATAGATTTCTATTTAGGATTCTTTAGGCGCTGAGTCTCCCTTTTGTTAATGATCCCAGGTCCAAGGGTTTCTCTTTCCCATTTTTAAACATGAACCAGCATCTTTTATTGTTTTGCTCAGTTATTGCAGTTTTATTGAAGCGCATTGCCTCTTTTTCCACCATCATCTGTCAGCTTCACACGACTTCACTGTTGCACAATCTGCCCGGCACTTTAGAATCAAAATCTCAACTCATTATTTATGAAATTACTTAATGTTCCAATTTTTCTATTGTTTTATAATAAAGCTAATTTTTTTTATAATGTCTTATTGTCATTGAGGAAGTCACTTTTACTGTTCATGCTGTATGAGCATGTAACAAATAAAAACTCTTGAATCTTGAAATAAATGCATTGTTGTTTTTACTCTTTATTTAGTCTGATACTGTCAAATAAATCTCTTTGACTTCGCTTTTCTCGTTAGTGTGCTTATTTTTATGGGTGTTATTTATCCAAAAAAATACAAATAAAAAAATTCACGTGATTGTGCCAACAGCTTTTGGTGCTTGAAAGTAGGAGTTTCGGCTGAGCACCTGAACGCAGCACGGGAGCTGGAGCGATGTAGAGAGAAGGAGAGGCAGAGGAGGAGGTGGAGGCAGACCGAGGAGAGGCATGAAGAATATTCCCGGGATCTAGGCTGACAGACGGGGAGAGCATCTCGTCTTCCCCTCGCTGGTTCTGGGGCCGACTGGAAGCGGAGGGAGGCCGGAGGACCGAGGACAGGATGGAGGAGGAGAGGAAGCAGTTCCTTTGCGGGGTGGTGGAAGGTAAGAGCGGCCGACTTCAGAACTGACCTCCTGTCGGATCATGTGATTGCTTCTTGCCTCCAGGGGATGATTTTTTTTTTATTGAACAGACCCACCGCTTGACCTACATTTGCGAGCGATCGTTTTGTCACCTGCTGTAGACAAGGAGGGCGGTGATGCGTTCGTGGAGACAGGACGAAGGAGGTCCGTGTGAGATGATGGTGTGGTGGTGATCAGTCAGGCTTGAAGTGGAGATCAAAGAGCAGGCGGGGGGGAAAAGCATCTAGTAATGTGTGGTTGAAAAGCTGCAGCCTGAAGGAAGCAAAAAAAGAAATTAAAAGAAAAAAAAAAAAAGAAAAAAAAAAGCTCTGGATAATGAAAATGACGAGGAGGATGATGGTGAGGATGAGGAGACTGTAGAGGTCTGATGGTATGACATGACAAGTGAGATGCTGAGGAGGATGTGAGGAAGAAGGCTGTGATAGTGATGGATGATAATGAGACAGTGAAGGTAACACAGAAAAGAAAATAACAGTTTGAAGACCTCAATGAAAGAAATGCCAGTGAAGCATCATCATTTTTGGAGATGATGAGGATGATGAAGATGATGATGATGAGGAGGATAATACTGTCAGTGGTAATAATGGCACTGATGATGCTACAGGTTGTGACTATCACAAAACAACAAATAAAAATTACTCAAGGAAACGTCAATGAAGAAGGTCAAGTCGCAGATTTCCTTGCTAATTTCAATATTAAGATAAAAACTTACAGTATTTTCTATTTCTATGTGAATTTATCTTACTATTTTAATTACTAAGATTGCACATGCAGATTCTATCCTATTTACACTACAAGACCATCATCGAAAAATTCCAATCAGGCTTTAGGGCTCGCCACAGCACAGAATCTACTGTACCCGAAGTTTCCAGTGACCTACTGCTGTTTTTAGACTCTGGTAATTGTGCCATTTTCTTAGGTTGGATCACCTTCCCTGTGCTGAACTGGTTTGAGTTGATTTACTGTTCCAGTAAAATTAGGAGTCGCCCCTCTTGTACTCTTCCAATCGCTTGTGGAGTACCTCAAGGTTCCATCTTAGGGCCCATTTTATTTTTTTATTTTTGTCCTCCCCCTTGGCTCCATTTTCAACAAACATAAACTCTCCTTTTACAGACGACTTCACCGCTATCGCATCCATCCTTAGCTGCCTGCAGGAGGTGAAGCGCTGGATGGCCAAAAAGTGCCAAACTTTATGCCCTTTGCAGGAATCTTGGTGCTATTTTTGACTCAGCAGCATGGAAATTTGACAAACACCTTCACTCTGTGGTGAAAGGGTGATTTCAGCTGAGGAATATATCTAAATTGAAATCTATGGTCCATTTAAATGACATAATGACCAGCTGGGCATTGACCGGTCCCTTGCACTGGCTAACTGTTAAATGCAGAACTGAATTGAAGGTTCTTTAAAAAAAAAGAAAATACAAAGTTAGGCATGGAACTTCTCTGCCGTTTGTACTCTACCTCAAGGCCTCTTAGATCTTCAGAACAACTACTTTTAACTGCTCCACGATTAAGGCTGTTGGGAAAAGGAAAAAAAGGGGCCTTTGTGATGAAAGCACAGACTTATGCTTTGAACCAAATGTTCATCTCAAATCTCAAGAGTTGTGGCTTTCATTTGCTCCCAGTGCTCTTAATATTTCAATACTTTAGACTTATTGATACTTTAGAATTCAACCTTACAAGTTGTTCTGTTTTTCATTTTTTTCTAACTTCATTTCTAAAAAAAAAGATATATTAATTTTTAAAATCACAAATCAGTATTGATAATATATTTTTAAAAAGTCAAGGCTGATAATGAGTCGGCCCCTAATAAAACAACTGGCAATGTTTTTTTTTTGGTTTTTTTTAAACTTTTTTATTTTTTATTTTTTTGAGCTGCAAGTTTGGAAATAGAAATGATTATTTTATTTTATTCAGTTACTTTGCTTATCATCTTTTAAATCCCTTTTAGTCCAAGACATCTTTCTAAATAAGAAAAATGCACATTGCAACTTGCTCAGATTGATGTTTTTAAATGTTTTTCTTTGTCTGAATTCCAGTCCAAAACCCCCAAACATCAATCTTACAGTGATTTATAACAGAAAACGGTACATTTTTTCACACTATTATTACTGTTGGCAGCCTAACCACTTAGCTGTCAAGTCACCCCCACATTTTAGACTTTATTGCTTATAAAATTACTTCACTAATTACTGAATATTTAAAAATAATTGCCAATTAATTTTCTGTGTATTTGGTTTCTCCACTGTCTCAGCTTTACGGCTCTATGAATCTCAGCTACACTGGTATCTCACAGACACACACACTCTGATTCTTATGCCTCCTCAAGCCTGTGTGTTTCTCAGCCCCATGTGGTGGCATCCAGCAGAGCTACTAATTGAGTTTGGCTTCGTGGGGAGCCCTCCACAGGACACACATACACGTAGGTAGACATGCCGTACACATGCACGCCCAAATAAATACAATAAAAAACAAAACCTCCAGAGGCATGCAGGGGAAAGCAGTCGGCATTGGAAGTGTATCTGATTTGATTCTCACTCTGACCCAGTTACTGTACACACACACACACACACACACACACACACACACACACACACACACACACACACACACACACACACACAGACTTTGCAGACTTATTCAAAAACACAAAGGAGGGAGAGGGACACTGGAGATGCTCCCATTTCTAAGAATAGAAAATGTGATGGAGAGTGTAGCCGGAGATGAATTATGCCGCTGCCAGTCGCAGCAGGGATGTGACCAAGTAAGCAGTGGAGGATCTTGTATTGTTTTGTGTGGCTGTGCAAGAAGCGCTGTAGCTGTGATGCTACACGGTGGAAAAAGAATCATCATTTTAAAACAGTTTTTTGTTTTGTTATTGATAATATCTAGTAAAACCAAAGTAGAAAAAAAACCTGTAAATTTGCACGTGAACTGTGAAGAAACGCCTCAGAACTGCAAATAATGTCCACAGCAAAAATTATACTATTTTTATTGCATTTAAATTAGCAACTAATGTGACTATTTTCACCATATTTGCTGTAATTTGAAAGAAATATTATGTATATTAGGATGTACAATAACATTTTTAAAATTGCATTTGTTCAATTAGCAATTAGTTTTTTTTACAATATGTAAAATCACACAGTTATACTGTATTTAAATTTGCTGAATGTATTATTTTACATGTTTGCCATCGGTTTTTACAGTGTGTAAAGCATTTCACATTTTTTAGCCAACAAATGTGGCATCCTTACTTTCAGATTTTCTCTCTCTCTCTTGTTTTTCTTTTTCTTTTTCAGGTTTTTAAGTGTAGCCTACAGTCCAGGGAATCATATATGATAAGTGTTTAGTATAAATTCACAAAGAATTAAGTTACACAAATGCAGTTTATTCCCATTGTGCAGTTTTACCCACCAAGCATACACGTTAAAGTACACTGACATTTGCAGCACATTTAAAGTGAAAGTCCGTTTGAGAGCTTACACAGCATATTTGCTTTCATGTACTGGTCAATAAAGAGGGAATTTGATATCTAGGAAATCATTTTAATGGACTGGTAAAGGATGTGATAGTAAACAGAGAAATTATAGAGGCAGCAGGACCCACAGAATAAATTAGTAGGCTACTGTAACAGTTTATGAGGTGTCCGTTGTCATGAAGCCTGAATTAATAGCTTTACATACTGCATCAGTCATGTGACTTAATTGTGCTCATTTCATTTTTTCTTCTGCAGGTTTCTATGGGAGGCCTTGGTCTATGGACCAGAGGAAAGTTCTCTTCCAGTGGTAAGTCTGCCACCACTCATTAATGCTCTGTACTCCAAGCAGCCAAAGTTACATTTTTACTCACTGTGGGTTCATTTTTCACTGCAATATCAAATCCTGCTCCCCTACGGAAACAGCACAGCAATGGCCAGAGGCAGAGAGATCTCGGAGATGAATTTTTGTATGTACAAAACAAAGATTTATGCCATAAATCTTTAAAAAAAAAAGAAAAAACAACCTAACACACGCAAAATGTTTCCAATGCCCACAGGTGATACCAATACTGAGAAAAAAAATGGTGACTCTAATATTATAGATACAGTCGTGACTCAATAATCCGACACTAAACGTAAAACCTTCTATGTCGGATAGCAAGGCTGTCGGATTGTCAAGACGGAGGTGGAGATACAAGGAGGGCCTGATGCCTGAAGGGTAACTTGTTGTTAATATTCATTGTTTATAGTTGTTATAATAACTAGTGTATTGTTAGAACACTACACATCGCTGGATTTCACGCCTAACTGACCCGTGCAATCGTGCACATTCCGGCCACTTCCACCCTCTCGGAGCGCTCCAACAGGGTGGAAGTGGCCGGAACACACAGGCAGTATTTGGCTGCTGATGCCAGTTTAGTTAGCGGTCACACTTCTGTTTCCACCATCGGTGGCGGCGGCAGCGGTGGCAGCAGGGGAATGGCAGATATACTCCACTGTTACCATCAGTGTTCACTTCCACAAACACTGAGCACACTCGCTGTGTATGAGGTCGTCGTGTCCTCTTCTGCGCATGCTGGACACTTTTGGGTCGTATGAAGTTCAATGAATGTGAATGAACTTCGGATTCAACAAAAAAATCTGAATTGAGCATTAAGTCCTGCAGTCTGAACGTAGCCAGTCTTTTGGATTGTTCAGTCAGATAATACGCCGCTATCCTTATTTGTGACATAAAACATCATGTCGAAGTCAGAATCCAAGGCTGTCGGTCTGTTAAGGCTATTTTTCATGGGTTCCGTTCGTTTTTCCTAAAAACCTGTCGGATAGCAAGGTTTTCGGATTGTTGAGGGTCGGATTATCAAGTCACTGTTACTGTATTTACATTTTAAATTTGTTTTCATAGATTATTTTTGCCAAATTTCTCAATGAGACATGTAGAGTAAAAGGGATTTCACTATTATCACGATTGCTGAAGCTTAAATTGAGTTGTTTTTCGAAAAACAGCACAATACAGATGATTTATTCAAAGCATCTTCCTGCTTTACAGTTGGCTCGGGTACGTGGTGTCATTTTGGCAGTTTTTAAAAAAGAGAACATGCCTTTCAAACCTGCTGGCAGGTTTTGTTTACGGTTCACAAGATTAAAGAAACTTGTGCTGCCACGAACCTGTTCGATGTTCATCTGCAGGCCGGCGTGCGCTGCTGCTATGTACACACAATCTGTGAGCGCAGGTGTCCGTGCATATGTTCCCTGGTCAGAAGGGATGTTTCTGTATTGTTCTTCATATAAATGGTGTGAAGCTCAGGAGCTGCTGATCTGACGCCTCTGGGCCCCAACCCAGCTGCACGCCTGTATTTCAGTGTCAGGCAGACATGAGAGAGCTCAGTGAGGCGGAATGACTCCAAAGCAAAGGCCAGGTTCATCCTCACTCCTGAGGCTCAGCTGTGGATGACAGGAGGCGAGACATGTGCTGCATTTGTTCTAATGGAAGGACGGAGACAGAGAGAGGGTTGAAGATGGGATGTGGGCCATGATCCCAGAGATATTGTTTTAGCCGCGTTGCCAGCAGGGCTGCAGCTGAAACATCTCAACAGCTATCGGATAGATTGCTATGAAGTCTTGCGCTCATAAATATTCTTCCAGAATATCATTTTTCCTATGTTGGACAAAAGCAATTTAAGGCAGATAAAATAAACATCCAAGATAATCAAATGTTCTATTCAGTGTGGTTGCTCCAAGAGGCAGAGATCTAATAAACAGACAGCAGATTCAAGCCTGTTTCAATCGAGACTGAACAAAACAGAGATAGCGCCTTAATGAGTATTCCACAACAGTTTTCTTTAACAGTTTTATTAGATCACCAAGAGAGACAAGCTCTTTAAGCACAAACCAGCTCACAGTGATTTCCATGACTGGAAGCTTTAGCAGATCATAAATAGATCAATTTGCAGTCAAAGTGACATTTAACCCAAGAATCCAAAAACCTGCCACCATAAAGGCATGTTATCTTTTAAAAATTGACAAAATTACCCCATTTATCACAGCTGGGAAACTCTAAAGCAGGAAAAACTGTTAGATTTTCAATTTTCCGACAGCCCTTGAACTTATCACTTCAAGCTTAAAATCACCAAAATCCCTTTATTCTACATATATCATTTAAAAATAGTCATAAAATAAACTATTAGCTTTAACCAGCTTCTGTTAAAAAACAAAAATTCTGCACTCTCCGACCCAACTGAGAAGCCATGAGTGACTCAGCTGTGAACAACAGTGATATAACAAAAAAATCTGGTAATTTTGGGCTGAATGGCTATGAACTGCAGGCTTTGTTTACACAACACAGATAAGAAACGAGTGTGGAAACAAATTAAAAATCTAAGTAGTGAAATATATATAGTGTGTAGAGCCACTGTGTTGTCTTTGGTAACACCTGTGAGCACTTGGAAAAATGCTGTACATGTTGATTTTTTTTCAATTTTCAATAAAGAACTGTTTTTATGGTTTATGGCATTATAACTTTGTCAAACTGCACTGAAGAGTTTGTTGAGCTCCATCTCCTTCTAGTCATGGTTGTGCTGTTTCTATAGAAGTGCAGGACTTTATATTGCAGTGAAAAATTAACTCACAGTGAGTATGTCAAGAAACAACACTGTGATAAATCCACTGTAAATTGATGCACTAATGAAGGATGGGCCATTCCCATTTCATGTGCATTCACCTTGCCCCATGTGTAAACCTCGGAGCTGTTAGGGAACCAATTAATTCTTGATGGCACACTGATCTTACATATAAGTGGAACAACATAAATCCCTGCTGTGAGCTGTGACACAGTTTTACAGTTCGGCAGCCAATGGTAACAGCTGTGTGCGTCTCCAGAGACAGCAGAGTCCCTCGGCTCTCGACTCTGCTCTTAAATATATGCAAAAAAAATATATACAACCGAATCATTAAAACACTCTGGTTTTGTTGGAATGATTGTATGAATTTGTAATTGAACAAACGGTGAAGTCACTAAAATATGACTTTTCAGGTGAAATGTTTGTAGTTTCGCAGCACTTTGCTAAAAACAGGCAATCACTGCTTCATGAAGCGACTCTTGGAATTAAATCGACTTCTAAAACTTTGTCAGTGTAGCGGCAGCTGAGTGTGTGGGCTCCACATTTATTTATAGACGGGGCTTTTTTAGACTCTAGCGCGGGGTGCAGGCACAATTCATACGCCGAGTGTTGCGTAAGATTGTAAGAGCAGAGATGTGTCTGCAGCGTGTGAAGCGTGTGATTGTGCATTTTAAGGGAAGGTAGGTTGCAGCTTCTGTGGAGGCGACTTACGTACCATCTGTCCAGGAAGTGAAGCAGAGAGAGACGGTGAGAACGCAGTCCACCCACGAATGACAAGAGAGACAAGAGCTGGTCCACGTCCAGAGAGAGAGAGACAGAGGACAATAATGAGGGTTGAATATGTGTGTATGAATACATGCTGATGCAGATATTGTTTCACTGCAAATACTACGCTCTATTTATAATTCAGGAGGTCATTTCCTGTAACTGAGGCGGCCTTTGAGCCTCACGATCAATACAGTGGATCTGATTTCTCGCAGCTTGTTGTGTTTTTGTTTTTTCTCTGTCCTCGCCTCATTAGCTCCTAATTTCTCCCTCTCTTTTGGCAAAGTTGCCATCTGACAATGCAGCTTTGGCCTCAAAATATGTAAAAGACTAACGCAGTTCAAAGCAGATAAATATGCAAATTACCAAAGATATTCGGTTTAAGATTTAATGTTGTCAAAATATAAGTAAAGTCTAATGCAAATATGAGCAACAACTGAGAGTAAAATATCAACAGAAAGAAGGAAAGTAGAAAAAATATCATCATGAATTAAAAAAAAAAAAAAACTTTTAAGGCGTCAGATTTCCAAAGTTATTTTAAAAGTCATCATGCAGCAGCTTTTAGTCCACACGAGACACCTAAGTGGAGAATTTTACCTTTTAAATTGCTCATAAAGTGTTCAGCAAAAAAATAAATATATGGTTATAGAGGAAAAAGTGGGTGAATAAAAGTTAAAGTTGAAATTATAAATCCTCTCTCTTATTAATTCACTTCCTTTCTTCTTACCTCTTTTCCATATTTTCAGCGTTTACAAATCAAGCCTTTAAAGCTTAGGCAGACATGTGGAAAAGGTCAGAATCTGGAATTACAGTCTTCCTTCTGTCCGACATCCGTCCCACCGGGTGAACTCGCTCTTTAAAGGTGCAAAAGTAGTCAAGTCAGCGTTTACTTGTGGCTTCACGCAGGATTCAAACACAAGTGAGAGGCTTCTGTTCGACACAGTCTATTCGTTGCACTTTATACTGTCTCACCTGAAATGAGAGAAAAGACCAGGGATTAGTGAGTTAGATTTTCTAAAGCTTGAAAAGAGAGTCAAGAGGAGGCGCAGAAGTCCAACCACTTTAATTGCAGGAGGCTAAAGGTTTATTATGGAATTTTTGTTCAGTGATGGCAAAAAAAAACCCAAAACAATCCTGCCTACCCCAGTTGTAAATCTGTACTTCGGTAACATGTACCTCTTCTGTTCATGTCTTTCTCCATCAGGATGCAGCGCTGGGGGTTGAACACCTACCTGTACGGGCCGAAAGACGACCTGAAGCATAGACTGTTGTGGAGAGAAGTCTATTCCCCTGAGGAGGAAGGTAACGACGCTTTACACATCCATATATCCTTATATCAATGATGTGTCAAGCCATTTATTCACTCAGATGTGCATCCATTTTCCCCTACAGATCTGTAAAAACTAAGTTTCATTCACCTACATAGCAAGTTTTAGGACAAAATATAACCTCTATCATAAACAGCTTTGGTAGCGTTACTTTAAAACTGTATTCCAATAAACTTACAAATTACCTGTTTGTAAAAAAAAATCATCATTGAGCTAATCCAAGTATGATAATATTGAAGTAATGTAGTTTCCCATTAATTCTGGATAACCTATTACCAAATATTTAAATAAAAGACAAGATAAAAGACATTTATATGGTGGCTTTTACACGTGGAACGGTAAATTATCATTGTTTAACCTATTTAAAAATGTATTTTGGTCTTGTAATCGTGCTCGTATGTAATTTAACAGTAATCTGATTACATTCTTTTATCTGTATCTTTAACAGAACAGAACCTTTTTTTTACATCCCAATTACACAATACTGCTTCATGTCTTCCGTTACTCCCAAAGCCTGAACATAAAGTCCTTCACTGTCATATTTATTAAGTTGCCTTTTTGACATTTCAAGTCAATTATTTTTCATGATAATCATAAAAGCAACAATTTCATGTGTTGTCAGATGTAATATTTTTCAAACACGCTATAGAGTCAAACTGATTTTCATCAGAGATACATGGAAAGAAGAGAATAGGGAAACATTGGTAGCACTTTAATATTCAACAGCTGTACCTGGTGTATCTAATGGAGGTATGCAGGAGGCTCAAGCTTGGCAGGTTATGCCTTGGACAGGCTGCAGATTTATAACAGGGCTAACACAAAACACACATACAGGCAACAGAATAACCAATTAACCCACAATGCATGCCAGACTATTGAGACAACCCACAGGGAGAACATGCAGACTATAAAAGTAATAAGGGCCCAGCTAACTAACAGGTTTAAATCCAAAACCTTCCTGATTTTAATCAACATTTTTGATCTCATATAGGCACTGTATTGACTGTAGTTCTCAGTCATGACCCAAAATTTCCATCTTCTTATTTTCCATTTTGTCCCACTTTAAACGGCCTCTACCTGAAATGAAAGTCAATCAAAGTACCTCTTTTCCTCTCAGGTCAGTTGCGCACTCTCATAATCGAGGCCCAGTCGAGAGGCTTGAGGTTCGTTTACGCCCTCTCTCCTGGTCAGGACATCGTCTTCTCGTCTTCCTGTGACATGACGCTACTCAAACGCAAGCTGAGACAGGTGTGTTGCGCTACACATGGCAAAAGCACTGCAGAAGTGTTGCTGTTTCATGCTTTGACCTCTGATGCGTCACCTCGTCTCTCTCTGCAGGTTTCAGACCTGGGTTGCCAGGCGTTTGCCATTCTGTTTGATGACATCGATCACTCCATGTGTCAGGCCGACAGCGAGGCCTTCGCTTCATTCGCCCATGCTCAGGTCACCGTAACCAATGAGATGTACCGGTTCTTGGGGGAACCACCTGTCTTCCTATTCTGCCCTACAGGTAGGACTAAAAGTCAAGAACTTCATAAGATCTGACACTGGCAGGTTCACTGCATCTACGTGAAACTCCCTTTCTTTCTTTCTTTCTTTCTCTCTGTAGAGTACTGCGGTTCTCTGTGCTCTCCCAGTGTATCCAAGTCTCCCTACCTGCAAACTGTTGGAGAGGACCTGCTGCCCAACATTACAGTCATATGGACAGGTGGGACACAAACAAACACTGTAGATGTGGCTGTAATCCTGCAGACATTCTGCTTTTTAGCCTCATTAGTTGACCGAATCAGAACACACACACACACACACAGAGGCAAAACACAGCTCAGCATGCACACATGCAAATAAGCGCAGGCACAAATCCTCACAACCTCCTCCACAAAGCAGAAAACGATTTAGGTGAACATCCGCCCACACGCATATGGAAGTACAGTAGAAACACACACACATTATCGCCTACTCGCCTTTTGCTCGTTTCTTGAATTTTTTATCGCTTGTCTCTATATTTCTACCTTAGAAGCTTTTCTATTGTAGCTTTTTACCGTTTATACAATCATGTTTAAAATGTTTATGGCACAGTAATGTCTTTTTAGCATTACATCAGCATTACAGGATAGGCTGCTTGTGTATTGTTCCAGCATGGGTCACAAAAATGCCATTTATGAGTAAAACGTGGCAAAATTAAACCAACTATGGCATGTCACAGAGGAAACTTTTGTTCCTTTGCTTCTTAACTTTTAAACTGCTCTGTTTATATAGTTTCTAAAGATCAGTGGTAGACTTGGGTCTGATCTCTAACCGTCTGAGAACATCATGCTTTTGGAAACTGGCTGGGACGAGTTGTCGGGAGTTGTTTTCTACATATTTTGCCGCAGAGGCAACACCTGCTCCTGTGTAAAATAAGTTCTGACAAGTGCTTCGGGGAGGTTTGTGTTAAAAAAGAAACACCCCGCCGACAGCTTGGCATGCAAAATACGCAACAAAGCTTTATCAGAAAATATGTGTCACTGTGTCATGTAAACATCTTGCGACTGTTGTTTCTCTCCCCCAGCAGTTTTTAAACATTTTTGCCGCAGAAGACTCTCAAAGCATAAAGATGTGATGATCATCAGAACTTTACATTTTGACGGGTGGTTCAGATTTGACACAGCTCTTAGGCAGAAAAGTCAGAAAATTCAAATAGGCTGATCAGTCTAAAAAATGTGATCGAGCTTGTTTATCAAACCTTCAGGCTTCCACTCGTCACTTCTCTCCTTCTCTCTGTCCCCTCAGGGAGCAAGGTGATTTCCAGGAAGCTGTCTGTGGACTGCCTGGCAGAGGTGGAGTCTGTCCTCCAGCGTCCTCCGCTCATCTGGGACAACCTGCATGCCAACGACTACGACTCCAGGCGTCTCTTCTTGGGGCCGTTCAAGGGTCGAGAGCCTCAGCTGAGGAGCCACCTGAGGGGCCTCCTGCTCAACCCCAACTGCGAGTTTGAAGCCAACTACATCCCGCTGCACACGCTGGGAAGCTGGCACAGAACTGGGAAAGAGGAGATGAAAGGTGAGGGGTGGCCAAGGCGCAAGGAAGGAGGAAGCAGCAGTAATGAGACGGGAGATAGCTTGAGTTAATAAACTAATATTGGCTCCGCCAGACCACATCCATGTACAGTTAATCCCATTGCTTCCCAGAGAATATTTTAATAAGCCAGTGTTGCTTGGCAACAAGCAATATTTTAACCACAAGACAATTCTATCTGATATTACTTAACAAATAAATAAACTTCCAGGAATTAAAGCTCCATCTGTTGTCCTAGAAAAGTCACTCAGCTACAGTTACACGTGGTAAAAATACAGACCAGCACCAATGTTCATCTGCTTTCATTGCAGAGTCATTTCATCAGCCTGTTTCACTCTCTGTGTTCCCAAAGTTTTACATTTGATGAATTGTGTCACACTCATAAAATAGCAGAGCCGTAATAGCCCCTGCGTCACCTTCATTTGACGCTGGGATCACATTCGCTGCCTTTCATTTACTGTGACCGTAAAATACATGGAAGCAGGGCCGGGTGAGAGCAAGGCGAGACAAGGGAATTAGATGGAAAATGGTAGGAACAGAGAAGCAGTGTAGCGTGTGATGTTCTGAAGACTGGGTGGAGGGGAGAGGTGGCGATGGAGGAATAATTGCTCCGTGTGATGAAGGAAGAAATGAGCGGAGAGCCGGTTCCCTCGGCGGAGGAGAAACGCGGCGCCGGGCTGGAGGACACGTAGGCTTTAAGGGAGGAGATTTGAAAAGAGATGTGGAGGCCTGTGATGGGATTGGAACTGGGAGAGGAATTTTAATGACTGCAGGAAAATTTGCTGTGCAACTCTGTGGTGTAGTAGTTTGCCTATAGTATGGTATATGGCAGACTGATTATGCAAAATGATGTGAAGGAGGGGTGAGATACTCTATGAATATAAATGAGGATCCTCACAGATGTTCTAATGTTATGTGTGCTGTAGATGAGGAGTGTGAGTACTGTCCTGATAGAGCTCTCTCTGCTGCACTACACGACTGGATGGAGGAGCTCAACCAACCTCTGCAAGCAGGTAGAAAACACACTGGTGCTAGTTTGTACTGTTCAAGTAAACCAACTGAATGTCTCCAAGCCTGCATTATTTACAGTGCGCTATTCTGTTATGAAACACAACTTGTATGGGTTTTTACAGGCCGGCAGAGCTCGAGGACAGACCAGCGCTCCTCCGTCCCGACATCTCGTTGCAAAACTCCCGACAGGTCCGACTGCCCTTCCACCTTCAGAGGAAGCTCCGCCGTGGCCAAACTCCCAGTCTTCCCTCTCAACTCCAGCTCCCCTCCCTCCTCACCCACCAAGGGGGAGAGGGAACCTCGAGAGGGGGAGAAAAGGAGGCCGAACCAGCCGAGCCAACCCAACCACCAGCCTCCAGGATCCAGACCCGGGGCGCCTCCGGGCGGAGGCCGGGGACAGCGGGCCCAGGGTCGGGGGGTGTGTAGTGGGAAGGGCCTGCTGAGTGAGTCCCAGGTGCGGCTGCTGGTTGGTCTTCACTATCTCCCCCACGAGCATGGCCCGTCGGCCCAGAAACTGCTGCAGGATCTGACTTGGCTGAAGAGCAACTGCCACGTGGTCGGCGTTAACAGCAAGAAGGCGCCGCCTCAGAAGGTCAGTGACGATTTTGTGTGGAATCTTTAACTTGCGGCAAATAAGAAGAACGTGACCTAATTTATGAACCTAATCTCACCTCTAACTCTGCATGTAACTCCACCCACTTCATAATTTTTGAAAAATGTCCCTTCCGAGAAAAGTGGAATAACCACACAGGATCACAATGTACCCATACCACATAGCATGTCTTCTGTCCCCTGAAGCAGACACTGACGGAGTGGTGAAAAGTAATTAGGTACATTTACTTAAGTTCTGTACAACTATGAGGTACTTGTATGTGACTGGACAATTTCTACTGTATGCTAAGTTCTGCTTCTACTCCTCTGCATTTCAGAGACAAATAATGTACTTTCTACTTCACTACATGTATCTGGCTGCTTCTGTTACTATTAAGATGATGATTTTACATAATATATATGACATAAAAAGCTTTTAAAATACAACACATAGTTAAATATTAAACCAGTGACTTCCAACCTTTATGATGTCCATCGTCAGGGTCATATTTGAATTATCTATGAGCCTTCACAGCTCCACCGAATAGTGTTTTTCCCTCTAAACTTCTCACACGGTTTCAATTTAATACATTTAAAATGACCCAATATCTCATCAAAAATCACTTTAGAGAAAAAAAAAATATCCACAGACTCTCTTTTTAATCACGTGACAACCCCATAGATTTGTCTGTCATCCCTGTATATAAAACTGTATGAAAAGCAGTTCAAACTAGCTCCATCTGCAGCAGCTACAACAGTAATGTGCTGCTGACACACTGATGCTTCACTGTTAATAATCTAATTATGCTATATACAATCCTATATCAGTTAGAGTGACCAAACCAGTGCTTTTACTTCAACTATTTAACTACATTTTTTTTGGCTAGTATTTTAATTAAATATGATTTTTCATGCAGGACTTGTAGTGGAGTATTTTTACATTGCTGTATTGGTACTTTTAATTAAGTAAAGGATCTGAATACTTCTTCCACCGCTATGGAGGACCATTGTGGGTCCAAGTCATATCAATTCAAGTTTTTGGCACCAGCCCCACTAAGCTGGAGTTCGTGTACACAACAGTGGTGCTATCGGGGGACCATCCTGCCATCTGCAACCATTCCTGAGCCATATGGCTGAAGGGAGGGAATCGAGTCTTCTGCAGACAGTGAGAGCACAAGGCCAAACCCTTGCACGCAAACTGTAAAATAGGAAGTAATAGGTTAACAAAAAGTATGGCATACTCCTGTGAATATTGAGTCTCAGTCATGGTATAGGCTTGACAGGACTTTTTCGTTTAAATATATACATTTCAGGATGTGGATAAGTCCCAAATGATTGACTCTATATCAGTATTCACGTCGCAAGATTGAGAATAATATAAAACAGTAGAAGCATGTTGAGCCATTTTCAACCCACAAAATGCCGACTTTCATAAATTTGGTAGAAATGTTAAAATCAGCATCAACATTCATGTGTTTCATCACAGTTCACATCATTTAGTTTACAGCTCAAACAACATGTTGCAATTAAAAACTGATTTGTGATGCCTGCTGCGAAGAAGCATCCCCACATCATGATGCTGCCACCGCCGTGCTTCACGGTGGGGATGCTGCGCTTGTGATGATGTGCGTCACAGTCACATCATTTAGTTTATAGCTCAGAAAACATGTTTCAGTACCTCTTTGCATCTGCCCTCAGGTTGATGAGTGGCGTGGGCGAGCCTCCAGGTTCCTGTCTCTGTGTGAAGACATAGCACAGCTCCACTGCAGCGTCGTGGGCGGGGCCAACAGGGCTGTACTCTATGACCTTTACCCTTATGTGTGGGACCTGAGGAACACAGCTCTGGTTGCAAAGGCCTTCATATGCTGGCTGGGTAAGGATATAGACAAACAGAAGCAAAAAAACAATACAGGAATACAGAATTAGTTTAACTGTGACGTGTATTCTGTTACTGTTATCATACTGGAGCTGCTGTAATTAGAGGGCATAATCAATTAAGTTGATGCTGAAAATCTGCTGGCATCAGTATTTTTAACTACAGCATGTTTTTCAACTTTAGTTCATTATTAAAAGTGGTTTTCTTAGTGTAATTGTTGCACCATGTTGGCTCAAGTCATTGGTCAGCTGCACCGAAGTCTGACTTGGTGTGTTTACAAAACTAAAGAATTTTAAATTATTCCTGAACGAAAAAGTGATTCGTACATTGTACACCAGGGCATCACTGTGTCACACTCAAACACCTGAAGAGAAAACACACAAGCACTATTTGGAGCACAGGCACCTTATTATCTGTTTCCTTCTCTCCTTATCTCTGTGCTCACATATGCTGGTTTTAATTACAGCCATTTCCAATAAAGCTGTTCTCATTTAAATGTCAGACAATGGAACGAATATGAAATAGTGACTAAAAAAGGCCCATTAAGACTACATGGTAACTATGTTGTGCTATTGTGTAGCACAATATAGCATAGTTTAGTGCACTATACTTTAGTGTGCAGTGTCTATAAAAAGTGAAAATTTTTCCCCTTTATTGCTTTTCAACACTGAATTACGGTCAATTTAATTTGGCCTTTTTGACAAGAATTTACAAGTAACGCTTCTTTCATGCCTACTTCCAAGTAGCATTCCCATGTCATGATGCTGCCACCACCGTGCCTTAAGATGAGGATGGTCTACAGTGTTTGGAGCCCACCGAATGTTGTGTCCTATCTGACTACCAAAATGCACAATTTAGGTCTCATCAGACCAAAGAACCTTATTCCAGTTGACTTCAGAGCCTCCCACATGCCTTCTAGTGAACTCTAGCCAAGATTTTATGTAAGCTTTTTCAACAGTGGCGTGTTCTTTGCCACTCTCCAATAAAGCTTTGACTGGTGAAGAACAGGCAACTGTTGCTGTGTGCACATTCTCTCATCTCAACCACGGAAGCCTGTTACTCCTTCAGAGAAGCCAAAGGTGTCTTGGTGGCCAATCGCACCAGTCTCTTGTGCAGTCACTGAGCTTTAGATTTATGCATGTGCCATATTCCTTCCATTCTCTTTATTCCAACAATACTGTGCCTATAGTCTAGTGCTAATATACCAGTAGTATCCTGAGCTAAACCAACTTCTACTTTGAGTATATACAGTAGTACTGCTAAGTTAATACTTAAGTTAGAAGAGAAAGGTGCTGTAGGTGTTCGTGTGGTGTTGTTGTCTCCTTTTAATGAAACTTTCTTTTCTCTTACACTCTACCCACTTACTCATCTACGTCACTTAGATGGACGAGTGTTGAGTGACAGCTCCACCCTCGGCTCCTGGAGGAACTGCTTCCACTGTGAGTAGGCATGGCGTTTACGCTTTTTGTCTCCCTGTCACTGCCTGAAATAACTAACTTCCATGCAACATTCAGTCATTACGTCTTCGCACGAGCTCAGCAGATAACACTGCAGTGAGGACTGAACTACCAGTTGTGCTTCAAATATTTATGACAAAAGCATAAAAACTGAAAGAAGTTCATTTCAGCCAACATCTCTTGAGGTGGTTTAATGCTGTAAACCACTGAATTTTTATGCTCGCATAAATGTTTAAAGGCATGCGATCATTTTCCATCTGCGCTGATGACTTTCAGGGCTTTTCCTTGGCTATAAGCTTTTCCCCAGAGTGACATGTTGTCTGTGGCAGGGTGTGGGAAGACCACAGGAGCAGATCTACTGGGAGTGGAGTCCGAGCCATGGGTGTTCAAAGGAGGAGTGTCTGGGGAGGTGCAGGTAGGGTGTGTTTGTTAGAAATGCAGTGTGTCATGGATTTGTTTTTTGTGTATCTGCGCATGCTTGTGTTCTTAAATTTTTAATAATATGTGACTCGGCTCTGTCAAGTTCATTCCTTAAAACTGCCTATTATGTGCGTTTGTTTGTTGCTGTGTAGATGCTTCTCCCGATAGGCAGCAGCAGTGAACTTTTCACCCATCCTCCTCCTCTCTTCCCTACCTCTCGTCTCTACAACATCAGGCCGTACCACAGTAAAGACAAGGTAGGAGAAGTCTCACCCACACATGTAACAACAGGATAATTCATCAAATATCACAGGAGTCAAGATGTTGAAATATTTGTGTTACTTTCTACAGTTCCACTATACAGTCATTGCAAATTAATTGCAAAGCTGCCGTGGAACTACTTATCTTTTCAGAAACACAACCTGGGAGCAAACCAAAAGGGAAGAACTTTTTAGGTCATGGAGATGCTCAGATTTGGAAAGTCATGGAAAATTTATGATTTTTTCCATCACTAACCTTGTACAGACAAACGCTGCAAAATTTATCGTAGAGTTTTCAAAGGACCCCGACTGTTTGGTCACCTGTAGATTTTTGGTTCCACGTTGATGCACTGATGTCAGGAAACACATGCAGTAACAAACCAAAACTATGTCTATAATGCTAATATTTATTGTGTTTTTGGGACAGTTTGTGGTATAAACACCAACCTTGTCAGAAAAAAAGTAGTCCTCATGGGGATCTGTGAGGCAAAATGTAATTTTGGGGGTTTTGTTGGTGGTTAGGGGTAATGTGTGAACTGAGGTTAGGTTAAAATTAGAGTTAGGACTGAATTAATTAAGATGAGAGTTAGGTTGTCCACCATAGATGGAAGTCAGTGCAATGTCCTAACAGAGATGACAGAATGTCCAACCATGATCGTGTCTGTGTAGGTGGAGCTGTATCGGATGGTCCGCCAACTTCACCTGAGGACTCAGGGTGGCCAAGAGTCCAGTTCAGCACATCCAGATGTCATAGGAGACAGGTCTGTACACGTGAAAGAGAAAATGTGAAAAGGAGATAGGGTCATTGGGTGTTTCTCATAACAGAATGACTTGCAAACCAGGTATTAAAAATTGAATACCTCATTTTGTCCCCCTAGATGTCTTGGACCGTGCCTGGCGTTGTGCCCAGAGTACAGCTTTATCTTGGAGGATGAGCTCGGTGTTTGCGGCTGTGTGTTAGGCATCTTGGATGTTCGCTCCTTTGCCAAGCGGTGCCAGGCCAGCTGGATACCCGCCATGAGGGACAAATACCCACCCAAAGGGAGCACACACCCCAACACACAGGTGAACATGAGGATATTATGCAGAACAAGAAGTCCTTTCATTTCTTGTTTTGAATAAAAACGATTATGTCATTCTGTGTGAGAGTGACAGCGAAACGAAAGTCACTGTTTGAAAAAGCTCAGATTAAATCTCGACTACAGTTCGCCAGAAGGCACGTGGGAGACTCTGAAGTCAAGTGGAGAAAGGTTATTTGGTCTGATGAGACCAAGATTTAACATTTTGGCTGCTCTCCCACAAAGCTGTGACTGGTGAAAAACAGGAGAAACTGCTGAAGCTTTTAACTCCTTCAGAGTCATAGGTGTCTTGGCGGCCTCCATCACTAGTTAAGATGGATTTAACTGAGATTTTCTTGTATCCATCCCCTAACCTTTTCACAGAGCTGCTTTGAGTGTCCATTTGTCATCATGGTGTAGTTATAGCCAGTAGTACCGATTCACCAGTGACTGGACCTTTCAGATTCATGTGTTTTTATACCACTATTTCTTTTATCACATTCAGTGCACTCAGATGATCTCCATTTCGCTAACTGAGTGACTTGTAGCACCAACTGGCTGCACCTGTGCCGAATTACAAGACTTTTGCAATCACTTTTTGTCCATTTTGTATTTTCAATGAATTGATATTGGTGGTATAAATCAGTTTTCACTTTGACACGAAGGAGTCTTTTTTGGGATAAGTTCTCGTCAAAAAAAGCCAAATTAAATTGACCACGATTCAGTGTTGAAAAGCAATAAAAAGGAGGGGAACTTCCAAGGGGGTGAGTACTTTTTATAGGCAATATAACACATCAGGTAGCGTTATGCACAAACAGTTGAGATGTATCACTACATGCTGCCACACCATCTGGATCCCTCTGTGAAGGATTAAGAACGCACTGGGAAGTTGGTGGCACGCACAGGTAAACAAAGAAAATAACACACACATATACCTACTACCACACTTAGACAAACAGAGATTGAATTTAAGATGGTGTTTTACAGCCACCTGCAGCATTCTCGCTATATTTGTCTTGGATTCTTGTCTGTTCATTGGCAGGCTTATATTAAACCAGATTTGATGGTTGTGTTGAATATAGTGCAGTTAACAGAAAGAGCTCCATTGGTAGCTATGGTAGAGATAAGAATCTGTGTTGTTGCCCATCAAGACAAACGTTTCAAAGAGCCAAACAGAGCTGGTGGTGAGCAACACAAACAGTCATACCCTGACAACTGCGGAGGGTTTATGTGCGTCATGGTGCACGCTGACAGTGATGCTGTGGATGACTGTCGTTCACAGCCAAGGGTGTGAAGGTAATAAGAGTTTCCAGCTGAAGGCTTTAGTGTCTGTCAAAGTCAAAGTGGCTAAAAATAGTTAACGGTGTCACAATGCCAGTTGTTTTTGCTTTATTGCACACAGCAGCACATTACTAGTGTTGTACATAATTAAAGTTTAGCTCTATGTATAGATGTGTTGTACTCTTGAAGAATAGGTGGCGAAAACATCCCTGCAAGCAATTTCCATTCCAGGAAAAAAAAAGTGTTTGCCAGCTTCTTGTACAGTCGTACATTATGCTAATTAAAGAAGTCTGTCTCTACAAAATAAAAGCTGCTGATTCAGTGAGACTGTTATTGCTGTTGATGCTACAATGTACTTAAATTTAATTCAGGGAAATTTGGAGTTATGATGACGATTACTCTTTATATTGTCTGTTTAATTTACTTACTGGGGCGCTGTGTAACTTGAAAGTGAGATATATGGCTGATTAGTAACATCTAGTGGCAGCTGTGGGGAACTACAATAACGTAGCACTATTCTGCACTAAGAGGAAAAATGATTATCAGCAACATATTTTGTGTCTTCTCTGTGCAGGACTTGATCCAGTTAATGGAGGAGGACCAGGGTGAGTACCCAGACTCGCTCCTGTATCACTTCCCCTCTCAGCTGAGACTGGACGCCCTTCCCGAGCTGGTGGACATCAGCGTCAGCCGCACTCTGCTCACCGCCCTCCTCACTGCACTCAAGGCCAACGGTAAGCTCAGAGTTGGTGTGTGTGCTCGGGTGACCAAACGTCCTGTTTTCACGTCCTGTCCTGGCCGTCCTGGTTTTAAATGTACTGAAATTATAATGGAGTGTCCTGGTTTTCGGTAATCAAAATATGGCCACCCTAATGTGTGCGATCCTTATTTGTGAATACTGAAACTGCTACCTGTCTCACGTATGACACTCAAATATTGGTACTATTCAAAAGGCTCTGGAAATGACTGATGCACAAAAATGTGCACGCTGTTTTAGTAACATTAATCTCTCCGTGCTAATTAAGAAAGATTGGAGATTAACAGAAAAGCAGATGATCATGACTGCTGAAGTTCTGCCGTTGAATTTTCCTTGATCACTGAACTAACTTGTAGTGTTTTCTTTCCCTTGTTGATTGTGTGTTCGCAGGTTCTCAGGGTGTGTTCTGTGAGGTGCAGCCTACAGACCGTCAGAGGCTGGAGTTCCTGACCAAACTGGGCTTCTTAGAGATCCTCAGAGGAGAAGCCAGGAGCAGAGAGGGGGTGGTGCTGGGGAGGCTGCTCTGAACATAAAAAAACACACACACACACACACACACACACACACACACTCTCACGCACACACACACCACCAGAAACAACAAAAACACTCACACACACAAAGGCACCGACACACACAGAAACATGTTAGGAAACACCGTATGTGCAGCACAGCGTAGTGACAACTAAGCTTTGCAAAGAAGCAGGGTCTGCGTTTCCTCCGTCAAGAGAGGGAAATTTTTATTTTTTTTTTCGAGGGACAATTCTGGATTCCTTTGAGTCTGTGTGGCAGTAATGGGGATGAACCCAGAGATTTCTGAGGGATTTACAAAACATAACATAAGCTTTCAGTTGAAACCTTTAGCAAAGCTTCTCAGATTCCGCCCCTGTCTGAGGATTACACGATTCCTTCGAGTTTCAAGGAAGGCAGGAGAGGTTGAGACGGGAGCAGAGCGCTGGATCACAGCAGCTAGAACATACCCCTCTGTGGAACATGGGCCAGGCCATCATATGCACCTTTTCTTTAAAGGTTCTCTGTGTAACATTTAGACAACCCTTATTGTTAATGACAGTGGTGGCTGTTAAGTGAACTGACACGGCACTAAAGGTAGAGATTGATCTGACCATACAAGACTAGAGTTTAATCAAAGTAAAGTAATCTCAATCATCTTTGGTGGTGCTAAGCCCAGGATGCAGTGATGGTGCCCCTGTGAAATACCGATGGTCGTATTGTTGAGGTGGAACATTTGCACACAGGTCATTCAAGTAGCTAAATCACTAGCTAGTCCAAGCAGGCCTGCCTTATTGCACTATCCAAATCCTTGGCAAGACTTGCTATTTTCTATTTGTCACTTGAAGGTTGCTATTTCCCAAAAGTGAAGGGGACTTTGAGAATGGTAATGCTCAGATGAAGCCACATGGAATGCGAGTTGGAAATGGCAGGCTGATACCTGAAGTCTACATCTGATGAGTCAGACTATAGACTGACAAACATTAGCTTTTTTTTCTCCTATTTTGGCCCTGGGTAAGTAAAACCTTTTTGTTGTGCTTAGGTTTAGTTTGTGCTTTGTCGGTTGTTTGATGCCATTAGTGGGGGTTAAAAGTCACATCCAGTGGCTTGTCATAGAAAATTAATTCCAAGTCCCTTACATAGGAATCAATCTACACCAGTTGCACTCACTTTTAAGTTATGTTCGTTCACACATTGGCAGGAGAAAATAATTAATAAATGCAAGTTGCGTCAAAATCTTACACGTAAGACCTCGAATGTGAGAATAATCGATCTTTATTGATATTAACTGTCGATCACAATGAATGATCTTTCAGCTTGTTGGAATCTGACCTGATCTGTGACCCACCTAAAGACATTTTAAACTTAAAAACTGACTTATTAAGAGTGATGTTCCAGACTATCAAAGTCCCAGCTACTTCCTCGTCATTACCACTGCGAGGTTTTAACAAAGCACTACCAAAGCCAGATGCCGGTTTCCCCTGCTCACAGCCTTTGTGCTAAGCTGGCCACAGCTTCACATTTACCGCACAGGCAAAAGAATGACATCGATCTTCCGATAACACGACCGCAGTCAAGCTTCTGTGTTCGATCTTGTGCTCTGCTCTCCTCTGCTTTGTTCATACAATGATATTTTTTTTCTCTTTAAAGTTAGGATGTTGTTTTCTAGCACCCGTCCTGTTGGTCTGCTAACACCAGGCCGGACCCAGGCGAGGCGTCACTTGTTTACACTCGCTTAGTATAGATGAATGTTTACATGCATGAAGAACAAAACATGGTCCACAGAGTAGGGTTACATGTATACTGACAAGGACACAAACAAGTATGATTTTAACGGCATGCTCTAACATGGCAGCGTAAATTGACTTTTTTAAATTTGTTTTTTGGCCTTTTTCTCTGCCATTATAGCTATAAAAACTTAGGGACATAATAAGAAAATGCAAATGCATGCTAAAATTCATCAGAAAAACAAAAAAAAAAAATACAAAAAAAACAACTACACATACACACACTTAAGTTTACACTCGGTTCAATCGGATAAAACAGATACCTCTCCCTCATTTCACACCATTTACACAGCGGAAACTGTAACCGGTGAACACGCCGGTGTGTGTGTGTGTGTGTGTGTGTGTACTTTGCGTGTGGTGTGTGCATGTGTGAGTGTGTGCCAAATACACAAACTAAGACAGCTGTGTCATTCTGCCTTTATTCTGAACCATAATGAACACAAGCATTCACACACACAATCATGCTAAAACAAACAAAAAAAAAATAAAAAAGAAGCACAACGGCACTCACAATCAAACCTTCAACTGAAAGTATGTACAACTATGAATGTTCATTTTTCTTTTTGTAATGCAGCTTAGAAGGACACAACTACTGCAACTATTTATATTTCTACTTTTGAGTTTCTTTTTTTACATCGACGCTCGGATCAATCACAGACTGAAAGGCACTTTTTGTATGTTTCCTCTTGTTACCAACCTCATCACCGTCGTCCGTGAGGTACTTCATGATAAAAGAATTTAGTCCCAGAGCTGGAAATCGTGTAGACAACAATAAAGCACTATAATAGAAATGCATGACGTAAAGAAAAATGTAGAAAAGATGTAATTGTTCGTCGCAGAGAGCCGTCACCCGTTACGGACTTGTGCGTTTTGTTTTTTGGTATTTTTGACACTCTAATTTAAGAAGTTGTGTGTGAATGTAGGCATGTTTGGGGATGGATGACGGGGGAATACACGTGAAAACTCGACACAGGCAACGTGAAGCACTGTGAAAAAAAAGTCTGAAGAAGCGTGGCGTTTTCATTTAAGAGAATCTGTAACAGCAGCAATCATGACAATAATAATAATAATAATAATAATAATAATAATAACAACAGTTGCCTTTAAACTTCAGGCTTAAGCAGCTGACCACTCCAGTCCATTTCATAAACACGTCACCTGTCTCACTGTCTGCCTGCATTGAGTTCCATGTACAGTCTGTTTACAATGAGTTCCAGTGGATGTAGTCTGTCTATGCAGGGCGGCGGAGGAGTTAAAAAAAAAAAGAAAAAAGAATTACTGTAGAATTCAGTCTGTGTTTTTATTGACAATAACAGTAAAACTGTCATTTAAAAAAAAAAAGAAAAAAGACGGCATTTTAAAAACAATGATTTTATTGAACTGACTTGTTGATTTTCATGCTTATTAAAAGAAGTTTTCTTTCCCTTTAAGTGTGTTTTATTTATTTATTTTTTTTGTAATTGTATGAGTCATGATGAGGAGAAACTGATACGGGGGGTTCAAATTTGGAATAAAACAGCACATTTAATAGAAAGAGTTATATTAGAATACAAAGGCTTATATAAAAAAAATTAAAAAGTTAATTGACAAAACAGGAAGTCTCGTCTCCCTCAAAGTGTATAAACTTATTCACAGTCATCTGTAGGTTAAATATGAGTGTTTAATCAAAAAATATACACAAATGTTGGTAATAAAAATGCACAGTTAATCCCAAATTATTCATACAAAATGATGATTTATAGTGAATTTTTATTCGACTAATATGTCTTTTGGCTGGAAACTGTATAAAAAAGTGGCAAAATCTGATTTTGATAACAAAATTTAACTTTTTGTGTCTTTTTTCCCACATTTTTGCTAAACTAACCATGTTTTAAATTATTCATATGCTTTGAAATTTGCAGTTTTTTTCCTAAATTGCAGCTTCTATACCATTCCAAACAGTCCTGATATGTTTTTACCATTTTAAAACACTACATATTGAGAGCAGCTGATGCAGCAGTTCTCTAGTCAGTTGATTTGCAAGTCGTGGTTAAACCAGAGAGCTCAGTGAACTTGTTATTAGGGTCAGTCTTTCAGACAGAGTTGTACATTGTGGCTGCTCACAAGAGTGGAAAAGGCTATAAAGTCATTTTCAAGTGTTTTTAGTGGCTGCAGGGCAGAGAATAATCAAAAGAAGTTCGACAAAGTAAAAAAAAAATCGCAAAGGTTATGGGGCAGATGTGACCCCTGCATTGGCAAGAATGGTCGTAAGAAAGGCCAAGAAGAATCCAAGGATCACCACCAAGGTCATTCTGATGTCTCCAACATCTTAAAACAACACTTGACGCAAACTAAGGAGGACTCCAATTCTCCAAAACGGGCACAAAAAAGCTCACCTGGACAGAGAAGAAAGCTTTTGGTCATCAGTTCTGTGTTTGGATGAAGTGAAAATGGAGTTGTTAGGATGTAGGGACGTGGCTTTAGTTTGCTGAAACAAAGGAGAAGCATACAACGCTCAGAACGTTATCCTCACAGTCAAACATGTTGATGGGAATGTGATGCTCTGGGGGTGTTTCTCATCCGATGAACAAGGCAGCGTTGTGAGAGTAAACAGTATCATGAGGAAAAAAGGACGAAGGTAAGATTCTGGAGGAAAATGTGAGACACAATGTCCTACCATCTTTATCACGTGTTTAAGTCATTTCCAGCCATACGAAGCCTATTGGTCAAAAAGGAAATTTACGATAAATCAACATTTGGTGTGAATAATTTAGGCTTAACTCTATGGTGTCTGGTCCAGTCTACCTGAATTAGAAATATAAGTACTGATGCAGTACTCTGTGGCTGCGCTACACGTCTGTGCTCTCCCTGTCTGTTGTGTTCCCGGCTTCCCATTGGCTGCGGGAGCGCAGGTTGCGTTCAGGCGCCATCACTTGGCCAATCGGGAGGCGGTACGCTGCTAAGCTGCCGGTCAACAGCAACATCAGTGTGGCTGTCAGAGTAGCTGCCCAACTGCATGCTGGGAGACCCACCTGGAAGAGAGAGAGGAGCTTTAATAATTGATAAAGGTGAAGCAAGACAGGATGTTAAAGTAGATATGTGATGGATCTCTGGGAAGCAGGTTCACTCACGCTGGAAGAAAAGCCCTTAATTAACTTTTTTTTAGATTTTTAACTATTTGTTTCAGCTTGACAACATTTTTTATTGTGACTTTTCTATAAAGATACTTGTTTGGAATTAGACTATTTTCCTGCTCTGCTACTTTCGACTTCTATCCACTACGTCTTAGAGGCAAACACTGGACACTGCATTTATTGTAAAGCTTTACTTATTAGTTGTTTAACAGATTCTAATTATTAATAAATAAATGAAGCAATGTCATTGGAAATTAAGCTTCTCAGCAGTAAATAAAGTAACTGAAATTAGCTCCAGCTGCAAGATTCATGTGACGTCCTCAATATAGCATCAGGGATTATATTCCAAAAACATAATATGATTCTGAATTATGAGAAAGTTTCATTGAGGTACTTTATGTACATACTGATATAGTCTGATAGACTTTTGTTTTTAAATATATTTTGTATTTTTACTTAAATACAGTTTTGATTGCATGATTGTCACTTGCAACAGAGAATTTTAAGCTGTACTGTTGCTACATTTACTTCAGGATCTAAATATTTCCTCTGCCACTGGAGCTTTGAGGTATGGACCAGAATAAAGGAACTGCCTACATGAAAGCAAGGATGGTGAAGAGAACATGTGACATGATCAGATTACTTTTAAGCCAGCCTAACAACTGATGTACTACACAATATCATAAGTACTTCACAGCTACTGATAAAAGCAATTAAACAAAACTTAACAATGACTTCCTGTCAAGCTTGGTATTTTTCCAAACCATGGCAGAATTTCAACCACAGGCCTGCTATCTGTTCTTTGAATTCAGACACAAACACTTGCTTAACACTGCCATACATGCATGAACCAAGACGAATGAACCAAGATAAGAGTAAATGATTAAAAACTATCATTGAAAAATCTATAGTGCTGCAGGAAACACTAATCCAAATAAAACAGATAAAACTTTTTTGTGTGAAAATGTATAAAACTCAAACTAATATGGGAGTAGCTACAGCGCTTGTTTCATCGCTCCCTAACATTTCTACTTCCCACCTGTTGGAAGTCGTCTATTGTTCTGCCACAATGCCATTCTACAAAACACAGAAAGAGCTCAAATGGAATCAGCCTGGGCACGAAAAGCAGGGTAATAGCTCCTTTGTGTACTTACAGTTCCCATCAGATTGCTCAGAGCGATGTCAGCGTACGCGGAGAGGAAGGCTGCGGGCAGAAGAGGAAATATTAGACGACATTTATTCTCCACGCATTCGCTCGCTCCAGGTTGCTGATGCGCAAAACTGTACGGAGGCAGCTGGCTGCACTTAACCCTGATAGTCGACGCACTCTGAAAGCTTCAATTAAGACCAATTTACCTAATGTGAGCAGATTAGCTCGCTGCCAAACTGGTCAGCGCTCGTGTCCGTGGTGCTCCAGCTGCACCCACGAGTGGATGCAGAGGTAGGAGGGAAAGCCAGACCAAATAGGGCGATTAAATCAAGCTTTAGATGGACAGAATGACAGCATTTCTATTTAATCACAGCCATTTAAGACAAATATAGAGGCTTGTAAAATGGTTGGGAATTGGTTTCGATAATTAGAGGGATAAAGATAGAGGAGGGGATAACTGGACTCATGACAGCAAAGAGGAAATGTGTAAAGAAACAATAAAGGCTGAATAAGCTGTTTTGCATGTACTCATTATTGTTAAAGTTTCCATCTGTGGTCATTCATGCTGCCTTGTTTTTCATTCTCTCCTTCAGAAGGTACGATTCAGCATCTGGTGCATTTAGCAGAAGAATGACTTCATGATTCACTGAGAGCAGAAACTGACATCCTGATGAGTCAAAGGACAAACTGCATAACGTCACAGCACAAGCAGGTGACACGACAGAGTCCTATGTACAGTATCTGGGTTTAACTGCTTAAGAATCAAGAATGTCAGCCTTGTTTGTTTGGCTCCAGTGAATTTCTGAAAAAAAAAAAATCACAGGTCCAATGGTACAACTTAACAAAAGAAGAGCCCAGAAGGTGAAAAATACACTCAGGGTTTAATCTGTTCAGCCACTATAGAGAAATCACTCTGCAGCTTACATTAACCTGAGGTACCGCAAGGTTCAATGTCAGGTCCAGTTATTTTCTTTTTATGCTTCCACTCTGCCAAATGATTGCACGTTTCTTTTCATTGCTATGCAGACAACGCAAAAATACCTTCCCCCCGTGACCTGATGAGCAAAGAAGCCTCGCTCCTGTTTCAGACTTGCACAATTTTCATGAAATCAATCAGTCAAGAAAATGTTTATTCCCCCCAAACTGTGCCAGTCTCACTGAGAGCAGCCTTGAAACCTTGTTACACAAAATCTGGGAGCACTATTTGAGTCAGAGCTAACCTTTGAACCACAGATTTAAAAAGTTCTCCGGTCCTACTGCCTTTAGTTAAAAACCATTTCCAGAACTAATCCAGTGCTCCTACATTCTGACCTGCAAAAAGTCTTTCACACATTTCTTTTCTCCAGGCTCGACTGCTATAACTTCCTCCTTCTTTGCTTTTAGCAAAACAGCATCACATCACAACAAACATGGCTCATTTTAGAATGGATTTACACATTTTATTGATCACTTTTAAAGCACTTCTGGGTCTGGACTCCAATCTATATATCAAAAATGAACTGTTAACACAGTATGAGCCAACTTGCAGCCTTAGATCCTTATGTAGGGCCTTTGTGACTGTTCTAAAATCTACACTCGGATCTAAAGTGCTTCTCAGCTTTGGATGGACCTGCCTGAGAAACTAAAGCTCACAGAATCTTTCCTTATAACTCCTTTATATAGGCTTGCTTATCATGTGTTCTACTGCTTATGAGGGTTTTTATTACTTTTGTTTGCATTCATTAACAGATAACTTTATCTTGACTGTTGCTATGTCGCCTTCTGGGTATTCTGCTTTTATTTTGTTTGCCAAGTTTTTAACCTACTTTCCATTGCATTAGAAAGCTTCAGCACCATGGACAGAGGCAATGAGAAGGCTCACATATAAACCATAGAACAAAATAAAATAACATGTTTTGTCGCCCTCTGGTGGCAGAAAGGAGAATAGCAATGACAAGAGCAAAAAGATTAGGATTTATTTCTATTTGTTTGATTATTCCGGTAAAATTAAAGTAAGATTAACACAAATTTTGCACATGCGGGTCTTTTAAAAACTATTATAGTTGCTATATTAGCATTATACTGGGGTGCTGTGTGTTTGTAGATCTGTAATGTCACATAACACAGTCGTTATACACTCAACAATCGGTGACAACAGTGTGTAAGTGCGTTGGTGTGTATTTGTGTCACCGCTAGCGATGGCTAAGAGGTGGGTCCTCCAGTTGAAGGTGAAGAAGAGTCCTCCGACGGCCATGCAGCCCAGTGCTCCATTAAACCCCGACAGACCAGAGTACAGAGACTCATGACGCACAGCCATGGATAAACCTGACACACACACACACACACACACACACAGGGTGAGAGCTAAATCTTTACAAGTCTGATTACAAAAACCAATGAGTCACAGCTGCTGGCAGATCTGGGAACAAGACGAGCAGAAACACACAACAGCAACAACACACAGGTCTTAATTATGTCTCGCTCAATCGGCAGTACTGAGCTCATCCATGTGGTGGCGCCAGACACACGCTGTTGTTTGTTTGCCTTCAGTGCAATATTTAATTTGCGTGTAACCTAATAAGGAAATTCCTGATTTTTTTTCCCTTTGGCTATAGCTTCAAGACAACAAAGAAGAAAGATGAGAATAACTGTTCCAGCGTGGAGGATTTTCACCTGCATCATTGAACTAAAGGTCTGACAATAGCAGTCATGACTTTGCACTCTTGTGTAACAGTGTTTACAGGATATGATGCATCACTAAGGAAACCATTCCTAATTTGTCCACTTTGTCTCTTGCATTTGAGATTTTTTTCCGGTTGGAATGAACCATCTGTGTTCAGCTGCTCGCTGTGTGGTGGTGAGTGGAGCCGGGCCAGTGGGAAGTGCTGACGAAGAAGCTGCCCGTCTCCTCTTCTTTGAGCTGCAGATGCACTACAAAATATACGGTTTGACTTTTATGTCTTTCACTGCAATGAGACAGTAGAAGAGGAGACACAAGCTTTCATGGAGATCAACCACACAAGAGAGACTTTTAAATCATTTAATTAGCAACACATATGCTGCTTTTATTGGCAAAATATTACTTTTAGGTTTCCTTAAGTGCAATAATTGACTTTTAAATCCACAATAACAGCTTTTGTTCATCCAGGCTCTTTGTGGTGCAGAGTATTGGTGGATAGAGGACAGTGGATGAACACCAGGTCGCTGCCTCACCTCTGACTCACGTCCATACGAGACAAACTGTGATGCTGAAACTAAAAGCAGACCGTACAGGGAGGGGGGGCACGCTGACCCAGATACATCTCAGCAAGGCTCGGAGCATTGACATTTTCTCTGCTGCACCTCGGCTCTCAACCCACACGTGAGGAAGATTAACAACAAAATCAGAACGAGGTCACAAAGAGCACGGGCTTAGCCGCAAAGGGCAACAAATTTAATTCAGCGAGCGCTGCAACCACAAGGCATTCATTAAATTTCTTCAAATCTGGTCTAAACTCACATTTTTTAATACAGACAAAGTGAATCACTACAGAGGGGCAGCATCCCCATATAATGAATCAGGGGCACATGCTATTTGGAATCCCATCCTCGCCCATAACAAGCTCCAAAGCTAAACTGATGGATGTTTTCCACAATATCTGAATATTGTAGACATTCTAATTGTCATGTGCAAAAAAAAAAAAGTAATTTTACTTGAATCTTACCCAATAAAACAAAAAGATGAAGCACAGTTTGCAGGTTGTGTTAGTTCATGGATGACTGCCAGACATATACAGTAAACACACATGCTATGTAGTAGCATTGTGCACCTAAACAATAGACTATAAAAAGAAAAATGTACTGATTTTTTTTATTTTTACATCAGATAAAAGTGATTAATGTAATTTTGCAATTTTGTGGGGCCTCACAGGGTTAAAGAACAAATCTGGCAGCACCAGAGTTTAACCTTTGGAGTTAAAAACCAGAGTTTTAACCTGATATTCACAAACTCTGACTCAATTTGAAATGACCTTGTTTTTCTGCCGGCGTCGGCTTCACGTTCACCCCCTCATTTACGTAAACAACACAAAACCACCTTTTAATGAAACTACATCAGCAGCGCGCCACTGTTCGCTAATTAACATGTCGTTCGGTCGTGAATCAAAATATCGGACGAATTAAAATCGTGTCCTGACGTAGGTTGCGGATAAATAGTCGCGGCACCAGCAGAATGATTAATATTCATCCTGAGGGAGGGGAGGCGGATGGGGGGCATGAGTGTCAGCAGCAACTTTCATAGCAATCCGTCACAAAACAACAAATGTGTGCTTCATGATGAAACTCCAGGAAATGTCAGGAGAATACCAAAGCTGTTAGGGTACATTATCTGGATGATAAATGTGTATAAAAATCAGAACGGTCCATCCAGATGTTGTAGAGATAGTTGACGGACGAACCAGCCTCCCTTCCTGCCACCAGTGTCCACAAAAATCGCACACTACAAACCTAAGATAGGACATCTGTGCACCAGACAGCACGGATAATTCATGGAAAATGTTGCTGAACACTAAAGCAAGACTCCACTGAGGGGGCCCACTGTGCTGCCGAGGAAAAAAAAATAATGATGTGTTTCACTGATACACTCCTTGTGCTAGTGAGAGCATGAACCCTGCAGAGAAACGGTGTATTTTTACCTCCCCGAGTAAGAGTAACATTATAAAAAATTACTGAAAGCTGTCTGGCTCTGCACAGGAGCGACCCTCTACCCGTTATGTATTATTTAGACGCACGTGCGCTACCCTGGATGGCCCGTTTGCACTGACTAAAGCTAGAACGATGCACAAATGTGAGTTGTTGTCGCAGCTGCGCCACACTACATCATTCCTGTATTAGGATTTTTCAGAGACTTGTAAAATGTGAGAGCGCCTCTAGAGATAAATAACCCTCGGGCAGCTCGGTGATTGATTTCCTCATTACCAGGCAGTGGGAGCTGCAGCTTAGCAGTCTGGTTCTGAAGCAGACTGACCACACCCCTGTACTGCCTCCTCACTCTGGACGACTCCACCATCCACTCCCCTTTTCTTCTCACAGTTTGTTTTCCTTTAAAAGCTAGCCTCTTTTTCATCCTCCCTCTCCATCCTTTCCTTTTTCTTCCTCCCTTCCTCGTTTCCTTCATCACACGCCCCTCTTTTGTTTGCCTCCCCACATAAGAGTGTCATTAAAGACTAATGGCAATGTGGGAGGAAGGCCGCAGAGGATGGTCAGATTTTTACTGTTTTTCTACGCTGTCCCTCTTTTTGTGTGTCTACAGCATGTGTGCAAGTCACTCCCAGCGTGATGTTGTCTGTGCTAATAGAATGAGTCAGAGTGCTCTTATCATATCAAACCCAATATGTCTCCTCTGCTCTCCACCTGCCTGCATCAACTGGGATCAGACTAGAACAGAGAACAGTGGAACGAACCGCGAAAATGAACTGCATGTATAACGCTTTGTTTCCCATTGTTAGCGGGCAATCGGGCGAACTTTGCATTTTCAGCCTCTGCTCTCCGTACAGCTGGTGAATCCATCATTGTGTCCTCGGATGCCTTTGAGGGGGAAAACTGTTTGTGGATGCGGCTAAATGGATTGCTCGCTATGGGGGCTCATTTGTTAACACTGTCCAGGTATCAGCAGCATGAGTTGTAGAGGGAACTGTTGGTCTGTGGGGTGATTTACTACTATGTGGTTAGTCTCTGCTTCCATCAACATTTGTCCAATGAAGAACCTCATTTCTGAAGTGTACAGGCCTATTTCCATAAATTTTAAAATTAGGTTTGTTAAGTTATTTAAATTTGTTCAGTGTAAAACCTCTTTTTAACCTCCAATACAGAATGGTAGTAGTCTGATTCACCACATGTAGACTGCGGGTATAAGTACCTTTAGCTAGCTATGTGTTACCGTTTTCAAAGTCTCTTTCGCTACAGAAAATAACAAAAACCTCTGAGTCACTACCTACACACTGCAAGAAAGCAATGAATTGACCTACTGAGTGCAAAAGTTCCACCAAAACAGTTCTTCTCTGCACTATTATGCAGTGGCACAATCGCTACATGAGCACCGACAGGGCAGGTTATTTTTTTTTTTGCATAAGGTGGTTTGACAAAACCTAAAAAGGTATGACAATGAAAGCCATCAACTTTCTTTGTTAACCTGGGTTTTCATCATCTGAATCTCTGCACGCTCCCATAAAAGAAGGCATTTGATGCATCATTTAACTCTTCTTCCACACAATGTTCAGGGTAACAGGTTGTTGTAACTCAGCGCTGTGAATAATATTTTAAAAAATGATGCTGGTAAAAATGCTATTCCTGCAAATGATGCAAAATGTTGGTATAATGGTATAAGACAGGAGGAAAATTTTAAAGAATTTTTTAATCGATAACCGACAACGCTGTTATTCAATAATCTGTTAATTAAGAACACAAATTGGGTACCGAGGGCATTATTTCATTTGCTAATCAACATAGGCCACTACAACAGCTTAGTTATATATTGGGCTATTGTGCAAAAACAATGCTGTCCAAGTACACCTAAGCACATGTTGAATTTGTGAGCTTTGGCAAGAGACCACTGACTTTCACAGAAGTCTTTGTCATGGTGGCATTTTGCTAGCTACTTTTCATCATCATCATCATCATTATGCTCATGAATGCCATCAGCCATGTAGGGCAGCAACAAAGGTTCCTCTTTTGCTGTTTCCATAACAGAAGTGTTTTTACAGAACATGATTGTTAGTCCTCTGTTCAACCCCCAACCTGGAGGACCAGTGGAACACGCCTCGTCAGGCCTCTACCCTTTCACCTGTCTGGCATGGGTGGCCCTACCAGGAGACGAACCTCCTGCCAGCATAGCTCTAAGGCTCACTGGGACACACAAGCCCACCGACCGCGACAAGGTGACGATCCTTTGGTAGGAACTACATTTCATCAGTTCTCGCTAACATAGTCCAAGTGACGATCTCCTCTGGTCGCTACAGCATTAACCAGTAACCGTCTCCATCTGGTGGCACAACCAGGTACTACAATTAAGCCACAATACATTTTCTGACATGCATGTCTTCTGCCTTATTGAGTGATTCTGTTTAAAAACAACTTACAGTACTACTTACTAGCAATGGATCGATTAAACCATCATTCATTAACATCCCTAGTGTAAGTGAATACATCTATTTTACCATTAAGTGCACTCTCAAGGCAGCTGCCCTTAACGCTGCACATTAGAGGTCTTAAAACTTCATTTAGTCAAACATGATATTGATGAGGCGCATTTAGGTCTCATACTGATCCATAATGAAGGATGCATGGAG